AAAAATAAAATAAAAAATTTATAATATTATAAATAATATATCTTATATATAAAATTACATTGTCAAAATGTTAGTTACCGTACTCCTCTGAAACGGCTTTAACGATTTTTACCAAATTTAATATGCGTATTCAGTAGGTCTGAGAATCGGCTACTATCTATTTTTCATACCGCTAAAGTGATTAGGGTGTCCCTATCCAGTAAAAATGTCTTTATTGCTTTAACAAAAATTTTTTTATTTTTTTGACATAAATTTTTTTATATTTTTGAAAAAGAAAACTTGCTATGATATGAAAAATTTTTGTCTATGAAAATACTGAATTCATAAAACTGCCCCCTAATTTCTGCACTATCGTTGATTCCCAAAATGCTCTCATTGACCGCGTATTTCCAGATGTACACATACAATACATAAATCATGGGTGGCTGGCAGAAAGAGCCATTAGCAGCAAAAAAAACGTGGATGTTGATGAATTAAACTTTAAGATAAAACAGACATTGCCAGGCGACTTAATATTATACAAATCGATCGATACAGTTTGTGATACCAACGAAGTTGTAAACTATTCAGCAGAGTTTTTAAACTCACTGGATTTGCCAGGCATGCCACCACACATTTTACGACTGAAAGTTAGATCACCGATTATTTTACTTTGAAATTTGAACCCACCACGGCTATGCAATAGTACGCGATTGGTAATTAAAAAATTGATGAAAAACATTATCGAAGCCACCATTTTGAATGGCAAGTTTCGAAACGAAAAAGTTTTATTGCCACGAATTCCAATGATTCTCACAGACAAGCCAATTTAATTTAATCGCGTTCAATTTCCTATTAGATTGGCATTTGCAAAGACCATCAATAAGTCACAAGGCCAAACGACGTCTGTTTGCGGTCTTATATATATAATTTCCATGTCACAATGTTAGCTACCGTACTCCTCCGAAACGGCTTTACCGATTTTAACCAAATTTTATATGCGTATTCAGTAGGTCTGAGAATCGGCTACTATCTATTTTTCATACCGCTAAAGTTTGATTAGGGATCACATGGGCTCAAACAAAAAATGGATGCCACGCAAGCAAGTTTCACCAGTTGATGCATGTCTCAATTTATTTAAATCGAACGCTTATTTACAGTTAATCCAAGACACACTGAGTGCTTTTATCTTCGACTGTTGTTGGTTAATGTTACTGGCCCATTATCATTATTATTATTTACAGTCAATCCAAGACAATTTAAATTTGAAGATACAACAGTTGTTGCCAGGAAACTTGGTATCATACAAATCTATTGATTTTAAATTAATAATTTAATAAATAAACTGTAATAACTTAAAAATAATATTGTTTGGCGTTTGTTATTTTTATTTTCGTTTTCGTTCATAGCGCTCCATGCCTATTTCATGCATATACCACATACTTACACACTTATAATAAGTAAGTTACTTTTTGTCTACACTAGAATTTATCTAGAAACTAGAAATAATTTATAAGGCAAAACAACGTTTGTCGGGTTATCTAGTATGTATATAGAAGAAGGATTCGAAATCTGCTAATGGTATTTAAAAAATTTGTAATTGATGTATTTAGCCTGAAAATTCCGAATTCCGTCTGTGATTCTGTAGTAAAAAAAATAATTAGTAGTAATTAAAAATTGAATTGAAGAATATCTAGAATTTGTAATGTGTATCAGAATCAGTTTTATG